CATTTCTGATCAGGTTGGCAAAAACTTCAGAATTTGTATCGACCGCCCTTCAAATGACAGCTTTGTTTTCCCCCAAAAGTGGGTGGAGCCATACTTTAGCCCGGAAGTGACGCATGTGTTACTCTCATCTATCGCACCTTTCACAGAAATAGAATTCACAAAGTGCTTCACAAGAAAGAACAAAAGTTAAAAACTAAGACCACAGAAACATGAATACAATAACAACCATAAAAACAAAACACAGACCACGTGGAGTCCAGAAAGGAACAAACATAAGAACACATCTCAAGTAGAAACCAAAGCCAATGTAAAAAGGTAGTTCTTCAGTAGTTTGTTTAAAAGCTTCTACAGAGACAGCAGATGGGATGTCAATAGGGAGAGAGTTCCATAGTGTTGGAGCCACCACTTGAAAAGGCACGATAAAAAAACCGACGCTAACTTGTGTTCTCCCGTCAGATGAAGCTGCAGCAGTCGGCGCTGGAGGTCCAGCTGACCCCCTTCAACATCCTGCTGCGAGCCGTGCTCAGTCAGCTGCAGGAGAAGGACCAGTACAGCATCTACGCTCAGCCCGTCAACGTCAAGGAGGTCTGCCTCGTTTATCAGTCTGTTCAAATATCTGAGTTACCGTACGTCAATTACAGTGTGGATGTGGAGCCATGGTGAATGTATCTACTAAGGAGCTTATGGTTTGTTTTGGTTTAATTGTCTGTCTTTCAGCAAGGTTAGGAAAACAAACCTACAGGCACTATACACATACAATATTGTTTAAGGTTGTAGCTTGGGCCATGAATAAACTGATTGAATTTGAAGCGGATCTGAATGACGGGGCACATACACAAATGATGTACAACGTTTGATAGCATTTTGACTAAGGAGACTTTTGTGCTGCGTTCATGTGGTGTCGTAAAAATCTGAAAACACGAGTTCCCTATTTGGAAAATTCCTATAAACGCCTCATCAAATCTGAACAACAACAAAGAAACAGCTATCAATGTGTTTCCGCGTTACGACCGAAAGCGCAAGTCTGAAAAACGATTTAGCTAAACGGGGACCATCCGAGGAGCACCTGAATGCACCATGGGTTAACAGAGGTCTGTGCTTTCCAAATTGAAATGAGTGTTTTCATATCTGGAGCCCACTGTAGTTCCACTGTAAGCAAAAGATAACGCTGCTAGCTGTTATGAAAAGGGTAAATCATTATGGTGACATAGTGGCAATCGATGTCTGCTATTAAACGGCTCGTCGACTGGCACACATTGTGGGTCTCTGAAAGTCTCTCTCGGGCTCCAACGTGTCCTCTTGTGTCTCCTGCAGGTCCCGGACTACCTGGACCACGTGAAGAACCCCATGGACTTCTCCACCATGAGGAAACGCATCGACGCTCACGAGTACGGGAGCCTGGACGAATTCGAGGCCGACTTCAACCTCGTCATCTTCAACTGCATGAAGTACAACAGCAAGGACACGTTCTTCCACAAGGCAGCTCAGCGGATGCAGGACCACGGGGGGGCGATCCTCCGCAGAGCCCGCAGAGAGGTGGAGAGGATCGGCTTCGACTTCCCCAGCGGGCTGCATCTCCCCGAAGCCCCAAAACCAGCGGCGCCAACCCCCTTCTCCTGGGAGGAAGGTACGAGAGATCATCGGTTGTGTTTTAAAATGTTTTTCCACCATGTGTGAGGGTTTTCAGTCGGTGGCGATACGTATGGATTCATTTTCTCGTGCTTTTACATTAGTTTCTTTTTGTCCGATCGGTTTTGTCTAAATGTATTTATGCTGCTTTTCATATATATTTATTGATGTACAGCACTTTGGTCAACTTTTTAAAGTTTGATTGGATCGGATTAGGAAATAGAAAATCTATCAAGGAAAGAAATGATAATCAATTAACTGTTTTAAGTCATTTCTCCGGTAGCATGTTTTGATCCTAGTTTATTTATTTCATTTCGCACATTGGGAACTGAATGTCCGTGTATTTGGTCTGCTTGTTTCTTCAAATTTTCGGGCATTGGTGATCATTTGTGTGCTTTGTTACATTCCACCACTGATTAATGGGTTAACTAATGCATGGTCGTCATAAAACCAGCAGCACCAACCCCCTTCTCCTGGGGGGAAGGTAAGATCAGTAGGAAACAGAAAATCTATCAAGGAAAGAAATTATAACCGATTAACTGTTTAAGTCATTTCTCCGGTAACATGTTTTGATCCTAATTTATTTATTTCATTTCGCACGTTGGGACCTGAATCTCTGCTGGAGTTTTGTCTACTTTTCGAGGCATTGGTGATCATTTGTGTGCTTTGTTACATTCCACCGCTGATTAATGGGTGGACTTATGCACGGTCAACATATTTGTAGTTTTGTTTTAAACCTAACCATCAAACCTCCAGCAACAACAAAACATTTGCCGTTTATATTTTCATGCAAAAGTGGCAGAAAATACTTTTTTTAGATTTTCATTCTCTCAAAAAATGTTTGCTAGCTTCACTCTGAATTATACTCTATCAAACTTCATTTAGTTGCATTTCCAACTGACAAAACAAGTTATCAACTTTGACTTTTAGAGACGATGCATGGTCAACATATTTATAGTCTTGTTTTAAACCTTACCAACAAACCTTCAACCACAACAACAAATGATCCGACATGAAACTTAATCTACCGTAATTTTCGGACTATAAGCCGCGCCTTTTTCCCCATTTTTCGACGCTACGGCTTATATAACGGTGCGGCTAATCTATGGATTTGTACAGCTAACGGCCACTAGGGGACCTCCTAAATCTATGGATTTGACAGGTTACAGTCCACCACCTTTAACTCTATGGGCTCTATGGCCGGTCCGCGCCCCCCACCTTTAAGCGGCGGGCTCCAGCAGGAAAAGCTGGAGGCCGGAAAAGAGTGAGACAGGTAGCGCGCAAAAGTAAAAGTGGAACCGAGAGTGGTACGAGAGACAGAACGAGAGCAAGACAGACAGACATTACGAGAGCGAGACAGTTTGTCCCCGTACCACTGGTTGAAAACCGCTGCTGTAGATCACTGCCGGTACGTGCGC